ACTAGCCCAAGGTCACCCAGGTGTTCCACTAGAAATGAATGCCTGAACTGAGAGCTGTCACACACGTGTCACTGCTGGGAGGAGAACACTCCTGCCTATATTTGGTGTCCTCACCACCCCACTCCTAAAGCCAATCAAGTGTGATTCTTCAGGGCCCAACTCAAAGAGAGTACCTGCTCCCATGAACGTTATTTTCACCTCTCAGTGAGTTGTCACATGGGACCAGAGCCAAGCAGAGTGAGGTGCAGCCTGGGCAGAGCTGTGAAGAAGTCAAAACTTTCAGCCTCTCCCCTTATTTCCTGTACTCCTAAAACCCACGTGCTACCTCATCTGGGCCTTCCCAGATGGCCTTCCACTCTGGGTGTTTTGTACCTTTCTTTTCCCTATTAGTACTTACCCAGTCTGTCTTGAGGACAATTGGATGGTTAGATTAATAACTCCTTGTGATCTTCCCCAGGCAGTTAAATCTTTGACAGAAACTATAATACAGTATATAACTCTAATTAAGAAATAATAGCAATGGTAAGAGTTTCCCTTAGACCATTCTAGCAAAGTAGCCATAGTGACAGATTCCGTGTGATGTTACCACAGCTGCCAACGACAGCAGGGACTTTTATTGAACACTTTCCAACACTTCACTGATGCCTTGGCTCCCTAGGAAGGAAAGCATGACAGCACCACTTAACAGATGAGGAACGCTCAGGGACAAAATTAAGGACATTGTTCAACATCACACAGCTATTAAATGGCGGAGCTAAGAGGTAGATCCAGGTCTTTTTTGACTCCAGAATCCATGCTTTTTATACTATGCCTGAATGCCTCCTGGCCCTCTCCTGGCAAACATCAAAGTATGGGATCAGGTGAGAAGGGGAGCCTGGCCCTAACCCTCAGGATCTCTAAAAAATTTAGGGCTTTATTATTAACTCTCAGTTGTACTATTTTAGAAATAACTTTGGCTCCTAGGCGGGGTCAAAATTCAAGATGGTTCAACACAGAGAGAAGCTGTGGGTTAGAAGGAAAATATAGCATCATGCTTAAGACTGTGGCTGTGGGTTCTCTGCCACTAAGGCTTTATAATTTGGGCTAGTTATATAACCTTCTTGAGCCTCACTTTTCTTTCATGTGTAAAGTGGGTACTTTAGTAGTACCCACTTTGTAGGATTATGGTGAAGATCAAATGAGATGCATTAGGTAAATAAAGCCTTTAGCATAGTACCTGGCATGTAGTTAGCATTTATTAAATTTAGCTGAAGAGAGAGACTAAAGAACATTTTTCCGAGGGCCTGATCCTCGTAAGGTTTCATAGGCAATACCTCTTTAGTACATAGATAATTCCTCACTCTGATTTTTGCTGTGAAGTATACTTTAAACTAAAAATCAGGTCAGAGTGTATCTTTATTTTAACAGTACTAGACTTTCCTAAAGACATGGCTGCTTTTACACAATTATGAACAGCCTACAGTTATCTTTTTAATGTTTAAGAAACATTTTGAAAAGGCATGAATCATGAAATGGTTTTTCTGGATCTGTTTTTCCCCCCAGCACTTTATAAAATAGAGAGCAGGTAATCAAGACTTACCTTGAGGTAATCGTACACTAGAGAGGATAATGAGGAAGAGAGAACAATTCACTCCGAAATGCTTTTCCTAAAAGCTAAATGTTTGGAGAGACTAGAGAGTGATTGCCAGAAACTCCTAACAGTGGAGCATAAACATTAGCCTTTATGCATACAAATCCTTAGTTTAACAATATGCTTGCTCACCACAGCTCATGTATTAGATCCTGTAATACCTTCTGGCCTGAAGCTAGTTTTCCCTTTAACAAAAATCTTTCAGCAGTCTGTTAATTAGAAGCACTGGGTGGAACTCAGTATTGTGATCATCAAATACTTATTTTGGGAAAAATGTTAAGTGGTCTGTAAATGAGAGAATGACCAGGTATTCTGTTTCCTCTGAGTCTGGCTTAATGATGAGCTCAGCAGTCACTCAGATCTTCATGGTAAACCTTTCTAAGTCTACATCTTTACTTTGTTATAGGACTAAAAAGCAAATGAACTTCAAATGCCATTTATGCATTTGGAAGGACATGCACTGGGCCAGTCTGAAAAACATACACTGTTTCTTCACTAGGTGAGAACCTAGGTCAGCGTTTGTCAGGGGGTGGCCTGTGAAGCGCAAGTCCCTTGAGTAGTTGTACTGGAAAAGGGTTCCATGGTCAAACGGATTTGGGGAATTCTGCGACTGAATCTCCACTCTTCCACACACACAAAGATTCACAACACACAGTGCCATATTAGAAACCCCAGATAAAGTCTACCTTAAAGAATTCTGTATAACCTTATTAAAGGTGGCAGTTCCCTCAAAGCATCTGACCTTACAATGCTTGTCTTGTGAAGCTCCTATTAGCATCACAGGACCCTCATAGCACTAACACGTTATACAGAAATTGTCTACTCACCTGCCTGTTGACTTCAATCAGATGGTAAGCTTCTGGAGAATAGAGGTCCATGTCTTATCTACTTTTTCATTTCTAATGTCAACACAATTTCTGGAACAGAGTGGGTACTTAACAAGTAGTTAAGGAGGGGAATTGAACTGTCAACATGTATGTGTGTTGATGGCAAAAAGAACAACATAATTCCATCAAAGGATAAGGGAAGGTTAAATGTTTCTGCCTTTGGATCAGATAAACTGTAATCCCTCACAGCACAGCACCTGAGCAATTTATCCTGCAAGTAATTTCAGTGTGAATATTTAAAGCAGGAGTATCTTGCTGGAGTAGATATAAGGACACACATGGACACGAAGATGCCAAGTCACTTCTGGGGCTTTTTATGATGATATTCACTAAAACCAAGAGCTGTAACTCTTCCCTTTGAAACAACTTCCTATCCTTGCATCGTGCCATTTCCCTATCGTCAAAAACCTGTATCAGGTTTTCCAGCCTCCCAGTTCTCCCAGTCCCTTGCCTGGCCCCTGACACAGCTTCTCCAGCACTTGCCTCCACACCATCCCCTCCCTACCCCAGGCCCTTCTGGCTTCTACACTTTGGTCCTCCTAATCCCCAGGAACCCTCTGCAGCTGCTTTCCTCTTTACCCCAGACTTCTCCACACAGCCAGGGAAAGTAAGACTAATCTCCACTGTCTCCTCTGTGCTGCAGGGAAAGCTTTTATTCATCTCTCCTCTCGTCGACTGTCTTTTTCATTCCCTATTCCAGATGCTCGATCCACTTTCACTCACGTTTCCACCCTGACCCTCCCTGCCTCGTTCCACCCACATCCTCCCTTCGGATGTGGCCTCATGGGCTCATCTCCCAGAAGGATGAAGGCATCCCACACAAGCCCCTTCACTTCTGTTCCTCTGAATCTTCACCTGCCTCTCTTCATCTCCTGATCAACCTGACAAAGGAAGTATTATCCCTACTCTTAGCCAAACCCAACCCACCCATCTACACATTTGATCTCATCCTCCTGCCTCCTCTAGGATCTTATTTTATAAATGATTCCCTCTCTTGTAAATCTTCAATCTCCATTATTCCTTTGCATACTGCCAACATGTGTTCATCTCCTCCACTCAACGCAAGTGAGCAACAAACCGTCCTTTTATCTCAGTACCCATTTAAGTGGTCACCGTATCCCATTCTTCTAACTTCACATTTCTTGAAAGATGCATCTTCAATTACTGTCCATGCTCCAGTTCAGTTTCTTTCTTTCTTTCTTTCTTTTTTTTTTTGGTGACTGGCCAGTCCAGGGACCTGAACCCTTGACTTTGGCATTGTAACACTGCGCTATAAACCAATACAGTTTCTCACTCTCTACCTTCCTCCTTCCTCCTCCAATACTCCCTCAAAGGGTTTATCAACAGCAAAGCATTTCTCATTGATCTTGCTGCAAGAATCATTACACCTACGAATATCCCACACTTCTCTCAAAGTCTATGTCAAGTGCCCCTTCCCCTTTGAATCTTTTGTAAGTCATTAACTTGTGTTTTACTTGTTGGAATGAAATTTGTGTAGTAAAAGAGCCCTAGGTCAGGATATGAAGACCTGTCCTAAGTCTTGACTCTGGCATCAACTATGTAAGTCAGAATGTCACATCACCTCTCTATGAAATAAGGACATGTTTTAAGGTGACCTCTAAGTCTCTTCTACCTCCTGTTATATTTTTAGGCATCTTAATGGCAGGAACTATGACTTAATATTGTGCAGCACTGTTCTTGAGGATAGTTTTCTGTATTTATTTCTTCTCACAAAAAAACTTTTCCTTTTAGAAAAAAGAAAAGTTGAAATTTAAGTCTGTGATTCAGATTTCCACTTTAAAAGTGTTCCTTTTCACTGTTCCCTTAAATGATGAAAATGTGACTAAATGTGAAAATCTAGGGTTCCGAAATCTTTAAAGGCAACGCTTAGAAACTTGATCAAATAGAAGAGCAAGTCTAGAAAGGTTCTGAAGAGATTTGTAAATTGGTGGCTATTTAATAACAAGACTTCCTGGGCCGGCCCGGTGGTGCACTGGAGAGTGCACCGCTTGGGAGCGTGGCGACGCTCCCGCTGAGGGTTCGGATCCCATGTGTAGACCGGTTCCTGCTCACTGGTTGAGCGTGGTGCGGGCGCAACACCGAGGGTTGCGATCCCATTGCCGGTCCCCGGTACAGGCGCGACACTGAGGGTTGCGATCCCGTTACCGGTCAGTAAAAAAGACAAAAAAGGAAAAAATAAAAAAATAACAAGACTTCCTGCTTTAAAGGGATTAAGGAACCAGAAAACCAATGTGTAGACAAGGTACCTAAGAGGAGATGAATTTCCTATCACAGTTCATGATGTCTGGGAACATTTCACGAGGACTGCTCCAGGATATTAATGTCCTAGCATTATTGAAGCGGGGCAGCTGAGTGCAAAGTAGAAATAGCAAGATCATTAGTTACTGACAAGATAATCAACATATTATAGACCAGATTTGGATGGTTCTGTATACAGAACAAGGAAAATTATACTGTCAATATAAGTGGAATAAGTTTTAATGTCAAATTGAATAGAGGGCCTAAGTATGGAAAAGGAGCCTACTCTTGAGTTTTTCAAGCTGAACTCAGCATCAGTTGTCAGTGCAGGAATTCGACGTTCTTTAAGTATGAGGAAGGCAGGGTTGAGCTACTCTCATTTTTCTTCTGTTTCATTTTCTTTCAGGTATTTGTTGAGGGCTTCTGTGTTTCATGTCAACCTATGGGAAAATTATTGGGAAGACTGATTAGCACAACTGGTAGCTGCTAACACATAGCTTTCATGAACATAGTGTTTATGTCAGTGCATACTTTCATGACTTTCCTGAGTAACTGATTTCATGGAATATTGCTGGATTGGTCCATTCGTCCTCCCAGCACCAAGGAGATATCTGAAAATACAGAATAGGCATTCTTTCCCTGTAGTTTTACTAATAAGCTTAACTAAACAAACATTTATTCCAAAGTTTGTTTATGAAACTGAAAACACTACCTCCCCTTCACACTTCCAAATTTCTATCTTTTTTTTTTTTTCCTTTTTGTCTTTTTCCGTGTCCAGCAACGGATCGCAACCCTCAGTGTCGCGCCTGTACCAGACTGGGACCGGCAACGGGATCGCAGCCCTCGGTGTTGCTCCCGCACCTCGCTCAGCCAGTGAGCGGCCGGTCTGTATGTGGGATCCGAACCCTCGGCGGGAGCGCCACCGCACTCCCAAGCGGCGCACTGTAGCAGTGCGCCACCGGGCCGGCCCCCAAATTTCTATCTTGTGAATGTTTTGCAGCCTACAATGGCTGCATTTTTAGGAATCTTTTCCCAAGTTCTGGATGATGCAGCATGATTTTTTTTTTTTTTTGGTGCTCACATTGAGATTCTCTGGGGATACTCTGGTTTTTTGAGCTCACAAACCAGGTAAGTATTTGCTGGCTTCTGTAGCTACAAGCTCAGTTCGTGCAATTGGAAATTGACAATTCACACATTAGTAAAGACTCTAATTTCACCAGAGAAAAGATATCTTACTTCCTTTTGCATAGATGTCCCCATCTTTTTCTCCCTCTCTTGTGTGTCCTTCTCTGGATATTTTCTGCTCTATCTTTTCAGTATCCATGTATCAGTCCCATTTCTGTTGCTTATAACAAAATACCTGGAACTGAGCAATGGATAAGAAAATGAAATTTATTGCTTACAGTTTTGGAGGCTGGGAAGTCCAAAGTCAAGAGAACACATCTGGTGGTGGCAACAGTGACCCAGTTGTCTCACATGGCAGAAATGGTAGAGCAGAAAGAGAGGGAGAGAGCTTCTCATTTGCTTTCCTTTTTAAAGCCCTCAGAACCATGCCCCTGACCACCATTATTAATTCATTCACTACAGCAGGGTCCTACAATGTAATCACTTCACCTTTCAATTACCATAATAGGATTAATACCTTCAACAGATATATTGGGGATTTAAGATTCAATGAGGTTGAGCGGGCATGTAGTCTTCAGCATTCCATCCCTGACCCCCCAAAACTCATGTACTTTTCACATATAAATACATTCATTTTGTCCCCAAAGTCTTAACTTGTTTCAACTCAAAAGGACAAAGTTCTGTGTCCCATCTGTGAAATCAAAACAAGTTATCTACTTCCACGATACCATGTTGGGACATAGAGTACATATTCCCACTCAAAAAGGAAGAAATAGGCCAAAAGAAAGGGATAACAGGCATGAAACAAGTCTGAAACCTGGCAGGGCAGCCATTAAATCTGAAAGCTGGCAAATCATGTACTTTGACTCCATGTGTGGCATTCTCTGCACATTGGTGTGGGGGTTGGGTCCCCAAATCCTCTGACAGCTCTGCTTCAATGGCTTTCCTGGTCTGAGGCCACACTTCAGCTCTCCCAGGCTAGTGTTCCACTCTGGTAACTCCACAGGTCTGGGGTCCCCTTGGTGGTACCACTCTCATGCCTCTACTAGGCATGGTGCTGATGGGGTTTCTCTACTGCAACTCCGATCCCATGTTTCCACTTGGCATTGCTCTAGTGAAGGCTCTATACTTTGAATTTGCCCCATTGACAGATCTCTTCCTGGGCCCCCAGGCTTTTCCATACGTCTGTTGAAATTGGAGTAGAGGATCCCAAGCCTCCATAGCTCTGGCACTCTGTGGGCCTAGAGACCTAATACTACATGGATGCTGTCAAGACTTCCAGCTTATATTTTCCAAAGCTGTGTGTTCAGCCACACTTGGGGCTAATTTAGCCACAGCTATAGCAATCAAAGCAGCTGGGGTGCTGGCGTGGGAAGCAGCATCCCCAGGTGGCCCTGGGCAGTGAGCCCATGGAGGGAGCCTCGACCCTGTTCCCCAAGACCATTCTGTCTCCCTAGGCCTCTGGGACTGTAGCGGAAGATGCAGCCTCCAAGATCTCTGAAATGCCTTCAAGGTCTTTTTTTTTTTTTTTTTTTCCCCTCTTTTGATAACCCCTTTCTTCTGTACTCATCTCCTTAGCAAATGGTCACTGGGATGCACCCTTGCATTTTCCTCATGAAAATGCTCTCTGCTTCTCTACCACATGGCGAGGCTTCACATTTTCTAAATCTTTACTCTCTTCTTCCCTTTTAAATTCTGGCTTTATGTCATGCTTTTGCCATCATAACTCAGCATAGGCTGTTGCAGGTATCCATGCAACTTCCTTAATGCTTTGCTGCTTAGAATTTTTTTTTCCTCTAAATACCGTAGATCAGCACCTTGAAGTTCCATATTCCATAAAACTTTGGGGCATGAACAGGATGCAGGCAAGTTCCTTGCAGTTCATAGCAAGGGTGATCTTTGCCCCAGTTTCCAATAAGTCCCTTCTCATTTACATCTGAGATCTTCTCATAATGGCCTTTACTGTCCACATTTCTATCAGCATTCTGGTCGTCACCACTTAATCAGTATCTAAGATGTTCCAAACTTTCCCTAGTTTTCTAGTCTTCTAAACTCCCACCAGCATCTAGGCTTTTTCTAGCCTGCTCCTCCAAATTCTTCCAGCCTCTGCTCAACACCCAGTTCCAAAGCCCCTTCCACATTTTCAAGTATTTGTTATAAGCAACATTTCATTTCTCTGGTACCAATTTTCTGTATTAGTCCATTTCTGTTGCTTATAACAAAATATGCCGAACTGGGTAATTTGTAAGAGAATGAAATTTATTTCTTACAGTTTAGGAGGCTGTGAAATCCAAGGTCCAGGGAACACATCTGGTGAGGGCTTCTTCTAGGTGGGAACTCTCTGCAGTGATCCAGGGTATCATATGGCAAAAAATGGCAGAGCAAAGAGAGAGAGAGTAAGCTCCTCAAAGGCTCTACTTTTTAAAGCCCTCATACCCATGCCCCTGACCACCATTATTAATCCATTCACTATGGCATGGTCCTGCAATCCAATCACCTCTTCAAGGCTCCACCTTTCAATTACCATAACGGGATTTCCCACCCTCAAAAGTTACAGGGGGGATTTAAGCTTCGGTGAGGTTGGGGGTGGGGCATCCAGACTATAGCAACCCATATCTAATAGTAGTCTCTCCCCAGCTCATCCACAATACACTTCCCTGTGGTGTCTCCCACACACCACTGTGTTCTGTTTATTATCAGGTTACATGTATACAACACTCAAGAGCAAGCTATCATTTGTGGCCCTCCTATTTCATCTCAGTCTTCAAACCAAGATATTTGGTTCTCCCTTCATTTTGTTCTCCAAATAAGGACTGCCTAATAAACAAATCTGAAAGGCAGATGTCAAGCCAGAAAAGAAAGTTTGCAACTTACATGATGGTCTCAATACATTTAATATAAATGTATGTTTACTCTAATAAATTAATAAGCTAAAGGTAAACTGAGCAATAGGAAAGTGGGTAGGATATATACAGGCCAATCAAAAAAAGAATTACAACTGGAAAATAAATGCACAAATATACTAAACCTTATTTTTAATCAAAGAAATTTGAGATATAATAAAATATATTTGTCTATCGAATGAATAAAATATTTTTAAAATGTAATACCCTGGAGTGTGATATTTGCACTAATAGCTGTATTTATATATTCCATTTTTCCATAAACTTTTTGAAGTACTCTCGTATCTATGTATGTACATAAAAAATATATATTTATATATATTAAAAATAATATATTATGTATATTAAAAATAAATCTTTCACATTAGACTCCAAAATATATTAACATATATATACACACATTTTATACACATATAGACAAATATAAAATATATATAAAGTTAAAATTTTATTTTTAGTTGATAATTGAATATATATTCAAATATGCATCTATGTATATATACATATATTCGCATATGAATTATATAAATATATACAAAATATATATTATATATTATAGTATATTAATATTATATTAAATATAAATAAAAATATATCAAAATAATAAAATAATGTAAATTATTATAAAAATTAAATTATTATAAAAATACAAATATATAAAACATATGAATATTATATATATATATATATGTATAAAATACATGTGTATATGTGTGCTGTGTCCTCATTATTAGGGTGTGGAATCACATTCGAAAACACTAAAAATCATACCATCTTACCTTTGTCTAATGTTCATTTTTTCAGAGGCTTTTCATGGTTATTTTCCACTTGGATATTTATCATTAATTGTGTGGGATTAGTCATCTGTGTCCCAGGATGAAAAGAAAAGGAACTTTGGAGTCAGACAGACTTTGCTCCCAAAATCAAGGGAAGGAAGTGAAAACGGGTGCAAATGAAAATCAGCTTGTAGGTGTGGACGTGGGGAGTCTTGGGACTCTTTCCTAAGGGCCTAAATTTCCAGTGTGGAGGAGGAGGAAATGTCATCGGCTGAGGAGAGAAGGACCCCTCTGGGGGAGGGAAGAGCTGCTGTGAGGAAGAGGAGAGGTGGTGACGAACCGGTTCAGCACTAGCCGGTGCTGAAATTCAGCCCAATCTACCTACGAGTCAGGCTCTGGTGCCGGGTTACCAAAAACTATAAACAGATGTGAGGCAAAATGACAGGAGGCTGGCTGTCAACACAGGTCAAATGTACGTTTGGTCCAGTGCTATTAATTGGCGGCTTTCAAGACCATGCCTTTCAGAATCATGTTTTAAAATGCCTAAAGCAAAACGGAGCAAGTGAGCAGGATGGGATAATGAAATATGCTCTACCAGGGACCGGGAAAGGGAATTTCCCTCCCGGGTCTGCAGCTGGCTATTGCGTGAGCTCGTACTAAGGCAGGGCAGAACAGGGACACGCCCCAGGAAGCTGCTCGTAAACACTCAGACTGGATCGGCCAGCGCCTGCACACTAAGCGGAACAGGAGGGGCAGGGGACAGCCATTAGGGGCTTGCAGGCGGGACGGACAAGGACAAGGTGGGGGCGGGGGTGCATGCGTTTCTCGCTCGCAGAG